ACACACACACACACACACACACACACACACACACACACACACACACGACAAGTGTTTTTTACAGGAATGTTGGGAATTCAAGCTAAGTTTCTCATGTTGGCAACCTTACCCTTCTTGCCATCTCCCCTAGAGTCAGACTTTAAAATACAAAACGTATTTTATCACCCTATCACCAAAGATAGGGGACTGGGGGCAGGGAATGGAGGACTTGTGTTTAATGGACATAAAGATTCAGTCTTGAAAGATGAGAAGGGCTTATAGACAGATGGTTGACAGTGACTGTAGCTTAGCAACACAAATGCATTTGATACCTCTGACCACTACACAAAATGGTTAAGGTTATAAAATTTATGTTAAGTGTATTTTACCACAATCGCAAACATCTCTAATGGATGTACAGTGCAATTGGAATACGATGGATTCTTCCCACCCTGGTCCACACTGTCTTCAAGAAATCCTCACTCCTATTTTTCTTCATTTGAGATGATCTGCCTTTCCTGCTTACTTAGGACCTGCCAGTCTGGCTTCCTGGGAATCTCATGCTCTCTCCACGCTGGCTTCTCTCCAGCCTCACCTCAGGCTCCCACTCTCTGTTCCTCTTCTAGGGGCTCTCTGCCACATCTGCTTTGGTGGAGTCTGGCTCCACGTTGTCACCCACTTCTTCCTCTTTGGTCCTTTCCCCACATTTCTTGTCTACCTGATTTGTGCCCTTCGCCCTTATGAGGATATCCTGCTGATTGAAATCCTGCTTATTTTCTTCTGTGTTTAACTGCTTGTCCTCTTCTTATTTCTTCATCTCACAAAACTGAACTTCAATGGCTTATTTTTTGTTTCCAGTATCTACAATACTGTTTCTAAATCTTGTGTATAAAATACAGGTAGGAATCTAGTGAATCTTGCGATATCCTCTCAGAATAAAAAACCTAAATAATTAAAATAAAATATAGAACAAATTAAATTGAAATTATCTATATCTCTTTTAAAATAATCCCATAGGTCTCCAACCTTCTTATAGAATTACATACAGTTATTCAAGAATATTTTTACAATGCAAGTACCTGTCTACTGATCCATTTTCCAATTGTGGAGTGCCTAAAACCTGACGGAAATCACTTATAACAACAATGTAGTTAGTGTTTTCCTTTTCTTTCTTTTTTTTGGGGGGGGCAGGGGGGTCAAGACAGGGTTCCTCTGTATAGCTCTGGCTGTCCTGTAACTCATTCTGTATACCAGGTTGGCCTCGAGCTCACAAAAATCTGCCTGCTTCTGCCTCCTGAGTACTGGTATTAAAGACACGTACCACTACCACCCCAGATATTTGTTTTCTTTAATGAGTGTTTGAAAGCCTTACTTACTTCTAGGTCTATTTTCTCCTTGTTATTTGTTGTAATTTTTTTTAAGTGTGTGGTAAAAAATAAACTAGAAATTTATTATTTAGAAAGTTCTTACCCCATGTACATTGGTGGGAAGGGTGACAAAAATACTTTCAGAAGAGGACATCAAGATTGTGACTTGTGAATTCAATCAACATCAGCAGAAAGCCTTGGGCAGAAGATGATAGACAAGGGACAAGATGAAGGAAGGCTGTTCCGCTTCTGGGGCTCTGGGAGGAAATGAGCAGATAGAGCTATTTGGCTACAAATTTGTTATCCCAGAAGAGGGAAGGGTGGCTCTGACTGGTTCAGGGGCTAAACAAGCTGAGGTTTCCTCTGTGACTTCAGAGAGCAGAGGCCACCGACAAGGATCCAGCACCGTGGTGGGCCTGGAAAGTGGGTCCAGAGAACACAGCCTCCAGCCACAGAACATCATCCTTATGCCTTAAAATTGAATGGAATTTTCCTTTCTAAGTTTGCTCTTCCTTGGAACCCACTGCTTTCCCCTTTCCTGTTTACTGTTTATCTCTCAAAGAATCGTAATGTCTATTTTGTCCCACCATTGTATTTTGGAAGCATTTTTTTAAAAGAATATTTTTATTTATGAATTCGCATACCTCTCTCTCTTCCTCCGCGCCACCCCCCACCCCCACCCCGTGCCTGAGAAAGCCAGAAGAGGCCTTCAGATTCCCTAAAGCTGGATGCTGGAAATTGAACTTGGGTTTTCTGCAAGAGCAACAAGCTTTTTTTTAATGAAAGGGCTTATTGGGGGGAAGGGAAGCAGAAAAGAGTTAGGGCCTGAGTGAGCCATGAGGGCAGAGACAAAGAGAGATAGGGGGACAGAGACAGGGGGAAGGGAGTGCCCTGACAGAGAAAGGAGGGAGAGTCAGCAAGAGAGGAGAGAGAGACAGAAAGAGAGAGGAAAGGAAGGAAGGAAGGAAGGGAGGGAGGGAGGGAGGGAGGGAGGGAGGGAGGAAGGAAGGAAGGAAGGAAGGAAGGAAGGAAGGAAGAAAGAAAAAATCAGAGTGGCAGACCTGTTATACCTGAAGTACCTGGCCCAGATGATGTCAAAGGACTTGTCAAGTTGTCAAGACACTAAAGGTCCCTAAGGGCAGGCCAGTTGAATTGCCTGCACAATGTAACATTCCTCTTTTGTTGTTTAATCTTAAAAAATGAGGAACTGGGGAAGGGCGGCGAGGCAGGAGTGAGGATGCAGCAAGCATTCTTATTTCATCTCTTTAGGCCCTGCAACCTACTTCTTGTCTGGTTTCATAGGGTCACTGACCCAGAACAAGTCCTTCCCCAACTTTTCCTCATAAAGTGTGAGGCACTTTGGAATGACGTATAGATGAGCTTTTGAACACAGAACTGATACTGGAAAGAATAAGACTTTTTGAGATGTTGGGATGGAAAAATGTGCCAGGAAAAATGTGAAGTTTCAGATTTCTAAGAATGGGAGGCTGTGGAGTTAAGTTTGTACCTCAGTTATAGTTGAGTCCCTATTTATAGCCCTCAAATAAAAATTATTTGAAAACAGTGTCCTTACTAAAGTAAAAAGTAAAGTAATTAAATTAAAATAAGATATCAGGCTAGATCTTAAGTCAATATGATAAGAACATTTTTTAGAAGCAGACATGCACAAAGGACTTCCTGGAGAGGAAAGACAGGAAGAATGTCATGTGACATGGAAATCAAGACTAGGGATTAGGAAGATGGCTGGTCACCAGTATAT